TCTTTTCACGGTGTATAATTTACCTTTTCATCATTACTGTTTCATTAGAAACACCGACGCAGCTCACACTAGTTTTTAGCTAGTTATATCTCTTTATAATAAGACAAAACATAGGGATTCAGTGAGGCATGACAAGTGCACAGGCGTTTACTAGAGTGACAACTCAATACGCAAAAAAAATATACATATAAAATGCGAACATGTCAAATTATACAAAGGAGAGGCATGTACAACAAAAGATTGTTTCAGTTTTTGGAAGTTTGTTTAAAAATATTTCAAAAATGTGCACCCTTGAGTAGCACACGTGCACTAGTTTACCCGTCAGGGCTCGCCTATTTTAACTAATTAGACTTAGGCAACCAAAGGTTAGTAATTAGTTAGCTAGCTACACCTACTTGCAAGAACGTTGACATACGAAAATAGAACATTAGTTTTTTATTGGGATAGGAATTATATTAAAAAACAAAAGAAAATCACTGAAGCTGAAACTTTTTCTTTTGTCTTTTAAGGTATTCCTTTCTCACTAAATTACTAACATTCTATTCTTGTATAGTGCAAACAATTAATCCGTGAAACACTAATTACTAAATAGTACAAAATAGTGCTAATTAAACAATAGAAAACGATAGAATTGGCATGAAATTGTGAAATTTTGTATTACTAAAGTTTCAGGATTATATTGTTTGCACTCTTCTTCTTGCAAGTAGGTGTATCTATGTCACGTGTATATTATTTGCACTTTACTTTCAGGATAGAGGCTTTGCACCACTTATTGGCTGTGTGCTTATTGGCTCTTTCCATGATAATAAAAGGACAGAAGACTTAGCCGCCATGATACAGTCAAAGACCATTTTTGAGTTCTAAATGACCGCTGTGTTCCTTGATTACAGACTCATTTACTCAGGATTAGCCTCGATAAGAACATTCACGTGTTCCAGTCAAGGTTATGGCGTTATATTCCCGACAAAATTCAACTTTAAGTTTTCAACATTCTAATAAAGAATTCAGTGTTTCACTTGCAATGCAATATTGTAATTGCTTTTCCGACATTGAAGATTTCGATTTCAACTTAGCTGTAATCTCGTCCAACATTCGAGTTCCACGATTGAACATTAGTTAATAGCTTTCCGTGTCTGGACAAAATTCAACATTGCTCTTTTGACATACATCAATTTCAGCATTCAACTTTGAGAACGTCACTTTCTAAACAGTATATTAAAATGAACCATTAGAGTTTCTCGTTCAAGGACTAAGGTTTTAAAGTATTTAGATACAAACACATAATCTTTCCGTCATTGTTGGATTACAATCCAATATTCAAGTTCTACCATTGAACTTCACGCACGAGTGCGTTTGACCTATGTCATAGTAAGCCGCTGTACAGTGATGACGTGGGCTCATCACGCGTGCTTTAGTGCTGCACGAGCTACACACACTGTAGCTTGCAGAGATGACAGACGAGAAAGCTAAAGCGACCCTTCGTCGCGATATGTTCGGAAAACCATGAAATAGATCACGTTAAATTTACTTGAGATAAAAGAGAAGTAAACATCCCAAGAACATGCGATATAAGCTTAAGTTTAAGTTGTTAACTTTTCCATGAGTACCAACGAGAAAGTGTAAAAAAAGTTATCAATTATATGGTACAAGACTGTGTTTTGCCTTTCTCTTTTTTAGATGGTCGAGAATTTGATGGTTGGACTGAAACCCTGGGTCTGGAAGTTAAACACTCTACGGTGTTCTTTTTCGTGGAATGCTTGTAGTTACAGTTGAAGAACCAGAGTCATTCTTTGCATTATCTGAAAAGAAAGATGATGCTAATCTAAATTACATATTTCATCTTGATAGGTATTGCGAAATAAGGATAAATGCACGAATAACTCACTTTTACTTTACATTTTTCTCGTTGATACTCATGGAAAAGTTAACAACTTAAGCTTAATCTTATATCGCCTTATATACAAGCGTGGAAGTTGACACGATATAAGTAACTTTCATAATACACTACAGTGTAGCTTTGAAACAGAACCCTAACTGGCCTCCTTACTAAGAAACTTTACGTAAAACTTTCAATATAGTTCAGGCTTTAAGTTACACTTCTGAGCAGCCTCCAAACTGAAGATTAGATAAAAGCCATTGTTTGCCAAAGAAAGTAACTGCTCAGCTACGCGACGAAGAGTTGGTTTAGCTTTCTCGTCTGCCATCTCTGCAAGCTACAGTGTGTGTAGCTCGTGCAGCACTAAAGCACGCGTGATGAGCCCACGTCATCACTGTACAGCGGCTTACTATGACATAGGTCAAACGCACTCGTGCGTGAAGTTCAATGGTAGAACTTGAATATTGGATTGTAATCCAACAATGACGGAAAGATTATGTGTTTGTATCTAAATACTTTAAAACCTTAGTCCTTGAACGAGAAACTCTAATGGTTCATTTTAATATACTGTTCAGAAAGTGACGTTCTCAAAGTTGAATGCTGAAATTGATGTATGTCAAAAGAGCAATGTTGAATTTTGTCCAGACACGAAAAGCTATTAACGAATGTTCAATCGTGGAACTTATTAGAATGTTGAAAACTTAAAGTTGAATTTTGTCGGGAATATAACGCCATACAAGGTATGTCGAGTTTCAAAGTGTTTATATTGTACATTGGTATTTGTGAATATTGACACTGATTCGAGGCTAACCCTGAGTAAATGAGTCTGTAATCAAGGAACACAGCGGTCATTTGGAACTCGAAACTCGGGTATATTCAAAAATACGTTGTTGCCGAACAACCCAAGCCTACGCGATTGGACCGAAAGGCAATCTGGGTAGGAATCACTGAAGCAGTAGACTGCATAATTTTATTTGATTAGCTTTGTTTCGGGTTTTCAGGACAGACGTTCTTCGTAGGTAAACGCGAAGCCGGTCGACGACAACGTTTTTTGAATTGACTGTATGTTGGTTGGCATAACGAAAGACTCTAAGACCGAATCTTTTATCAAGGTCAACCAAAATGGTGGCTATGACGTCACATGCACCCCAAGAATTTCGGGATTTTGATTGGCTTCTCGTCTTTCCGATTGTGACCGTGCCGTGGGATTGCACCCAGCTAGTCATCCTGATCTATCTTTGATTGATTTTAGTTGTTATACATGATAAATATCATATTGTAAAATACAATAGCTGAATATGAATTGTGAAATTTTGATTTTGAGTTTTTTTAGAATTTTGAAATTATTACATTGATGATGACAAATGACTAAAATATGTATTAGAACAGTAGTATTATGGTAACAGTAGTATGATGATGATGCTAATGA